TATCTCAAATATTGTTGGTTGAATACTTAGGTTCGAAAGTATGCCTACTGGCACTCCTCATTCTACCACTTCTAGATTCATTTTCCTCATTTCTCTACATAACTCATCAGCCACTATCAAAGTATTCAGTCCATGACTGGTTTTACGACTTAGAGCATCTGCAACTACATTTGCTTTCCCCTCATGATATTGTATGTCTAAGTCATAATCTTCGTATACTCTGACCATCTCCTTTGGCGTGAGTTTAAATCCCTTTGAGTGAAAATGTATTTCAAACTCTTATGGTCCGTATAAATCCTACATTTCACTCCATACAAGTAGTGCCTCCAAATCTTTAGCGCAAAAATGATTGCAGCTAGTTCTAAGTCATGAGTAGAGTAATTTAATTCATGAGTCTTCAATTGTCTTGATGCATATGAAATCACCTTCCCATTTTTCATAAGGACACACCCTAGACCATTCTTGGATGCGTCACTATATACATCATAAATTCCATTATCGTCTGACAGTGTAAGCACTGGCGCTGTGACTAGCTTTTGTTTCAAGAGTTGGAATGCTTCCTCACATTTGTCATCCTATTCAAACTTCTTGTCCTTCTTCATTAGAGAGGTCATAGGTTTAGCATTCTTCGAGAAATCTTTCACAAAACGCCTATAATACCCCGCTAAACCTAAGAAACTCCTAACATCAGACACTGTTTATGGCGTAGGCCAACCTTTCACTGCCTCGATCTTTGCAAGATCTTTTTCTACCCTATCTTTGGACACAAAATGACCTAAAAAGTCACTTTCTCTAACTAAAACTCACACTTAGAGAACTTTGCGTAAAGCTTGTTTTCCCTTAGTGTTTGCAGAATTGCCCTTAAATGTTCTACATGTTCCTCTACTCTTCGAATACAACAATATCTCATCTATGAACACTACCATGAACTTGTCCATAAATGGATGAAACACCCTATTCATCAAGTCCATAAAGATTTTAGGAGCATTCGTCAATCCAAAAGGCATTACTGTGAACTCATATTGTCCATATCTTGTTCTAAATGCAGTCTTGGGAATATCTTCATCTGCAATCCTAAGTTGATGGTAACCAGACCTTAAATCAATCTTAGAAAGCACAGCTGTGCCTCTCAACTGGTCAAATAGGTCATGAATCCGTGGTAATGGTACTTTTCTTTATGGTGACCTTATTTAACTCCCTATAGTCAATACATAACCTCATACTTCCATCTTTCGTCTTCACAAATAACAGTGGCGCTCCCCAAGGTGATGCACTTGGTCTTATGTATTCCCTTTTCTAATAAATCTTGCAATTGCTCCTTTAACTCACTCATCTTTGCCGGTGTCATTCGATATAGTGCCTTGGAAATTAGTGATGTTCTTGGAATTATCTCTATTGTGAAATCAATTGCCCTTTTGGAATCTCTTCTGAAAACACATCTAGAAACTCATTTACTACTTCTATATCTTCAGGCTTAGTTGTCTCTTCATGTTCCATATTCCTCACACTACAAAAATACACTGGATGCCCTTCTTAATATACTATGCCAATTTTAGCACATATATGATCCTTGGGCACTTGGTTTCACCATGCATCCAATATGTCACCAACTCTTTATCAGTTGTAGTCGTTTTTACTTTCTATGATCGACTACTAATCTCTGCGCTGAACTTGCTCAACCAATCCATTCCCAAAATGACATCAAAGTCGCTCAACCTAAACTCGATGAGATCTAATAGAAACACTTTTCCTTCGATTTCTAAAGGTACATCTTTAAAGGTCTTGTTACACTTTACTACCCCACCCGTAGGAATAACTATAGGCAAATCTACCGCATCTACGGTTTTCAAACAGTTTGCTAGTTTTGAAACAATGACCTTTGAAATGAAAGAAAAAGTTGCACCAGAATCAAACAAGACTTTAACAAGAATAGAGTTAATGGAAAAGGTACCAGTGATGACATCTTTCGTGGAATCAGCCTCATGTCTACTCATCACATTCAGTTTCCCTAGAGCTCCACCTTTCTATTGGTTATTTCCATTATTATTGTTGGTTTTCGCCGCATTCTGTTGTGCCCCCTTATTCCCAGAATAGTTGTTATTTCCCTGAAAGTTCTTTTGAGCCCCTCCTTGATTATTTCCCTGCTTTTTTCTATTGGGGTCCTTGGAGAAACATTCATACTCCTTGTGTCCTAACTTGTTGCAAGCACGACAAGTAACCAAATTTCCATCACAATCCCTACCAGGGTGATCGTTCTTACACCTCTTGTAGTAGAAATGCCTTGCTCCCCTGTTATTTCCCTGGGTAGAGTTCTTAGCTCCACCATTAAAGTTTCGTCCTCTGTGACGATTATTGCCTTGGAAATTATTGTTGTTGCTGAAGTTGTTGTTATGGTGGTACTTCTGTTTCTTAAAATTGTTCTGGTTACTTTGCCGGTTTCTAGAGTTCTGTCCCACCTCTTTTCTCTTTTCTTTCCCTTCTATCTCAACTAGCTCTTTCTTTTTGTTCAGCTTCAACGCATAAAGGTGTGCAGCTCTCCCATACACTTCATCCAAGGTTTCAAATACTTGCCCACACAGCTTTAACTGCAAATCAGTAGTCAGTCCACTCTCAAACTTCCTAGCCTTAGACTTTTCTGTGGAAACAGATTCTTTAGCAAATCATGATAGCTCAATGAACTTGGTGTAGTATTCATTGACCGACATATTCCCCATTGCAAGGTTAGAAAATTCCTTAGCTTTTTGTTTCTGTAAGAAGTTAGGGTAAAACTTGTCCCTAACCTTCTCCTGAAACATAGTCCAATTGAATCCAGTAGTGCCTTAATGGTAGCTTCATTTTGCTGCCACCAAAAGTCAGCTTCACCCTTGAGGTAATAGGTAGCACAACCTACTTTTGAAGTTTCCGAACACCCTACTCCCCAAACAGTTTTTCAAACTCCCTTAACTAGTTTTCCAGTATAGTTGGATTAGGCTCTCCTTGATAGGTTGGTGGCTTGCTCTGCGCCATTTTCTTAAATAGCTCTCCCTGAGCATCTATATTATTGGTTGAGTTCCTTGCTAATTGTTGGGCAACAACTGCCAATTGCCTCATAACTTCACTTAACTCTCCTCCATCGTTGTTGTTACCACTCCCTCCTGCCATCTTTCTTCACCTGAATTAAAACAAAGGGGTCTTTATTAAATGTGGTCTTGGCTAGCTCTTAAGTTAGACACCCATCGAACTAGTTAATACCCTTGAAGCATACACGTTAAATTTTAAGCAAACAAATTGGGATTACAAAAGTTGAAATTCCCAAAATTTGCAGCTTTGTCAACCAATTATTGATTGCTAACCAACCACACATTTAATAAAGCATCACATTAATAAATAAAAAAATAATTCCCATGGATTCCCAGAGTGTAAAAATGAATTATTGGAATATTTGTGAGTAAGAAACGGCTTCTTGGAGTAGTGATACAAAATGAATTATTTGGGAATGAAATGAATGATTTGTTAATAAAATGAATTAATTGACGAGGAAATAAATGAAATTTTATTGCTGAGTAAGAAAATGAATGGAATACTGAAATAAAATGATTTTAAATAACTTATACAACTACATAAGTTTACTAACTCACTGTGGACATGCCACTTATTGCTTCACTGAAACTGGAATAATTAAAATGCGGAAATGAATCTAAGAATCCTAAAAGAAATGAAACTAAAAAAATCTAGTCCTTTCAAACATTATCCTTCTTGTCGGTAGATTGTTTGTAGCTTCCAGGATCAAATTCTGGGTCATCTTCTTCCTCCATTGGTTCAGGTGACTTTGGTTCTTGCTCTACTTGGAACAACACTTCATCTTCCTCATCGTCGGATGAAATGTCGATTATAATTGGAGTTGGAGGTGGATTTGGATTTGGAATCTCCATAATGGAACTAGCAACAGTATGGTTACTCTCATCCATCATCTCTCCTTCTTCCTGCCCTCCATCTGACCCTGCTTGATTACTCTGAGTGGGAGAAGAACTTCCTGACTGATGACTAGTGGAAGGGGAATTATTCCCTGCCGGATTTTCATAGTATTAATTAGGATATGGAATGTGTAAGTGCTGGCAATAATCTTTCTCAACTCTAACGAGGTAAGAAATCAAGTATCTGTAGTCAGGGTACTACTGTCTATAGAAATTTTTGTATTTAAAGTAGTTTGGGATGTCCCCTGATAAATAGAAATCAGAAAACTTTGATTAAACAGCAAGATATGGGGGTTCATTTGGAAGACAGTGAATAATCATAGCAGAAACACGATCAGGAAGATCATAGTGCTTGTCTCCTAAGATATCGCTCATGTGGGAATAAAAGAATTGGATTTTCTTATAATAATTAAACGGATGTTCATTGTTTTTCTTAACTAGAGTGCCAATTTGGGAAAGTTTGCTAGGAAGAACCGACATCCTGTAAAGGAAAAGGCTTAGAAAAGAATTCCCTTCCAAAGAAAATAAAAATAATAAAGTTCTTGCATGAATTAGGTTCAATGTTCAATCAAACAATTTCACTTATTCTTAATCACATAATCACATGCTTTCAATTAATAAATCCACATGATCAAACATCACAACCTAAAATTTAATGCATACAAGAACATGATTATTTCTAACTTATATGCCGAAATTCTTTCCTACCCAAGCTCACCAACATGCTTTTAAAAGCTTTTAACACATAATACTTACCTCAATCCTTGCTTTCTTGCAAAATGAACAAACTAAAAATATTTTTGACTCCTCTTTTTAAAATTAATTTTCGAAAATAAGCCCCGAAAAAGACCAAAATATTCGGCCAACATAAAAAAAATTCAGACACCCCAAAAAAAAAATCGGATGTCCTTTATGAAAAAAAAATTCGGATTTTTACACAAATAAAGAAAAAAAAATTCGGACCTTTTTTAAAAAAATAATAAATAAATTTTCCCATTTCCAAAAATTAAAATAAGTGAAAATAACCCTCTTTAAATTAACTTAATTAAATAAGCACTTGACCAAGTTTAAAACAAAACACTTTAAAACACGATTTTGGCTTTAGTGGTAATTAAAAAAACTCAACCTGGCTCTAATACCTCTTTGTAACACCCTAGAAATTCCTTTCCTTTAAAATACCTATTTTACCCCTTTTAAAATACGACATATGAAAATCTAAGACATTACCGCCACCATGAAAACGGCTAAGGCAAATATCAAAGACACAAAGCGGAAGACTATCTTTAAAACCATTCATAACAAATCAACTCAAAAATCAAACTAAACGAAAGTAAAGTCAAACAAAGTCAACCTACAATTTGGAACCATTGTAGGCCCTTAAAACAAAACAATACTGAAAACCTTTACGTCAGTCTCATGAGCATAATAAAATAAATAATATTTAAAGCAAAAAAAAACACATCATATTCCTATGGAAACTAAGCATGATACGCTCTTCACTTAAGTGCATCATGAAAATGCTTCATCACCTGAAAAACTTCTCTCTACTTGTCCCCACTTAAATTCTCGCCATTAGAAATGGGTCGTCGTTGGGCCAAAGTAAAGAAAAGGCCAAACAAACATACAACACACAATCAGCAGTGCTTGGTACATAAGCATAATAAAACACACTAACATGCTTTCATCCTATCATCACACAACTTACCTTGTTGCACATGTAAACAACCATACAAGAAATTCAACACTTAACTAGACAAATACAAAAGTCCATTTAATTTGATTACGTATTGAACGGGTTTCCAACCAAATCCCTGCCCCAAATAAATTGAGGTAAACTACACCGGGACCTAACCGGGTAGGCAAATGTCACATGAAGTGACTGGACGTCCTGCGCATAAAATAAATAAAAAGGAAAATACAGTGTCTAGTACTCCCAGTAGAAGTTATGGTCAAATATATAGTCGCATAACTCCCCCCATATGTTCATACTCAAGGTATATCTTTTCCAAGAGTTTTGGTGCGTAACCTCTTTCACTTTACGTTATTTTACATATTATTATACTTGGTGATGACTCTTAAACCATAACACAATCGAACATTATAATTCATTCAAGCAATCAAACATACTAATTTAATTCTTGAATAATTAGTGACCACATAAATTTAATGTTGAATCCTTTTTAAACTAGCTCGGTGTTAAATAACACCTTAAGCGCATAGAGTACCACAAATCCTATCCCTTGGTGTTAGAAACACCTTAAGTGCACATAGGCACCGCAATATAATTTATTACTGTGTACTAAGACACTTAAATAGCTCCTTCCTCATGCTTATAGCATCAATACAAATTATATTAACCATAATAAAATTTCCTTTTCATATTCCAAATCAAATTAAACATTTAGTTTAATTAAACATGCTCTCTATCATGCCAACAATAAAAGTGTGGTTCATAATCAACATGCCAACATAATTAATTCCAATCGCCAGTTCATCATAAATAATTCATACATCACAAATCATTTACCAACATCAATCCGATCAACAAATTCCAACCAACACCTATCATGATACTATTTGGAATTAATTTAACAAAGCCTAGCATGCTTATGCATATTCAAATAATTACCAAGTACGCGAACATACCTTGAATATGATCTCAAAATTGCCATAACTAAATAAAATCACTTACTTGGAAACCTCCTACAAACCAAAATTACAAAGAGGCCTTAATACCTATTCCACACAAATTTCCAGCAATATATACACTCTTTAAATCACTCATAAACCATCTAAAAAAAGCTGAAATTTAATTTAAAACCCTTACTTTTATTCCATTAATGGGTAATTAAAAATCCTTTCAAGAAACATAATTATAGCTTATATATAAAAATTCCAGCTTTATTTAATCATCTAAAATTGCTGTAATTATGTCTTAATTTCAATAATTAAAATCACTCATAAACAATTTCCATCAATATACATAAACTTAGAAATCTAGGGTTTATAATTTGGGGCATTTTAATTCAAAACCAAATCTGAAAATTTATATACAAAATACTTATCATCAAACATCATAAAACTCATCACAAAACCCAAAAACAATAAATAGATTAAGGGTGGATTTAATTAAAAACCCAAAAGAATAATATATTTTTTTGTTCGGCCACCAACAGCCACGACACACGGCTGGGCTGCTGTCGCGCCCGTCGGTGTCGTTGCGGCTGCAGGCGTGCTCGCTGGTGGCTGCGTTGAGCAGCCGGTGGTGTGTGGTGGTGGCTGGCGGTGGTGTGTGTGGGTGGTGATGAAACAAAATTAAAATAAAGGGGAAGGGGAAAAATTAAGGGGAAGGAAAATAAGAGGGGAGAGAGAGAGTTTACCTTTGGGTACTCTCCACCTTGGCATATGATGGGTATTTATACTCTCTCTCAATAACCCTCCTATTTAAAATTCCTTTAATACCCTTAATGATTCCTTTTCTTTTCAAACTAGTATTTTGAATTTCCTTAAAAACTCGTTGACTTTATAATTTCCTTTTATAAAATAATATGCCCCAAAGTTTCCAAATCATGAAATAAAATATTTTCAAGATTATTATATAATTAAAAATAAACTTTTAATTAAAATAATTCTTTTTAAATTAATGAAACACCATAAATTATTCATTTTGAATTATTTAAATACTTTAAGAAATACTTATTTTAAATACATATAAAAATATGGGGTATTACAACACTACCAATAATTCTAGCATATTCCAACTGATCAACTGAATCACCATTATTTTTCTTTAGGTGGAAGCTCGGTTCATATGGAGTCTCAACTGGATCGACATTAAATGAGTCAAACTTTTTAAGAAGTTTTTCAACATAGTGTGATTGATTAAGACAGATGCCATTTGAAGTCCTTTTAATTTTTACTCCCAAAATCACATCTGCCTCACCCATGTCTTTCATTTCAAAATTCGAACTCAAAAACTGTTTTGTCTCATTTACTCGATCCAAGTCGGTCCCAAAAATTAACATGTCAACCACATAAAGACAAATAATCACACAACCAAGACTATCATGCTTAGAATAAACACAAGAGTCACCTTCACTAACATGAAAACCATTACCAGTCATAGTCTTATCGAATTTGTCATACCATTGCTTTGGAGCTTACTTAAGCCCATACACTGACTTGACTAACTTATAAACCTTGTTCTCTTGGCCCAGTACAACGAACTCTTCAGGTTGGACCATGTAAATCTCCTTATCCAAGTCACCATTCAAAAATGCAGTTTTGACATCCATTTGGTGAATAACAAGATCAAAAATGCAAGAAAGAGCAATTAAAGTCCTAATGGTTGCAATTTTAGTGACAGGAGAGTAAGTATCAAAATAATCAATGCCAAACTTTTGAGTAAAACCCCTTACCACTATCCTTGCCTTATACTTGTCTATGGATCCATCGGCTTTCAATTTTTTCCTAAAGATCCATTTACATGTAATGGGCTTACAACCTCTAGGAAGTTCAAACAATTCCCAAGTGTTATTATTGAGAATTGATTGCAACTCACTATCAATTGCTTCTTTCCAAAAAACAGCATATATTTACCTCATTGCCTCATCATAGGTTCTTGGATCATTTTCCAAAATAAAGATATGCACAAAATCATCATCAATTAAGGAAGATTCAGATAAAAAGGAAGCAATAAAATCAGGACCAAAATTGTTGTCCTTTCGTGCCCTTTTGCTTCTCCTTGGCTCCATAACAGAATCGTCATTAGTAATAGGAGCATAAGCAATAGGTAAACTAAAAAGAACTACTAGCAAGTAATTCACTATCATTAGGGGGAGACATTTTCCAAGGAAAAATGTTCTCAAAGAATTCTGCATCTCTTGCCTCAATGATATGGCCACCTGCATAAGAGTTGTTAGTACCTTTAACAAAGAAACGATAAACTGAACTTTGAAAATCATAGACAACAAAAATAGCATCAACCGTTTTAGGACCAGTTTCGTCGTCCATCTTGAAACTAGGTATGCCTACTTTTGCTTGGCACCCCTACACTTGACAAGACTCGACCTTTCCATATTTCGTATGGAGTCTTGTCAAGCTTCTTATGAGGAACCCTGTTCAAAACATGACAAGCAGAAAGAATAGCCTCCCCCCCCCCCACATGTTATTAGGAAGCCCAGAACTAATAAGTTCTATTTTTTCTTTCAGCTATACCGTTTTGTTCGGGTGAATAGGGAGCTGTCGTCTCATGTACAATGCCGAGTTGCTCACAAAATGCCTTAAGAGTGTCAGGGTTGTACTCACCACCCCTGTCACTCCTAACCCTCTTAATCTTCTTGTTCAATTGGTTTTCTACCTCAGCTTTATATTTGAGGAACATTTCCTCAGCTTCGTCCTTAGACCTGAGAAGATAAACCATGCAAAAACGTGAACGATCATCGACAAAGGTAATGTAATACTTTTTACTCCCTCTGCTCTCGTGATTATTAAAATCACCCAATTCACTATGAACAAGTTCTAGTACTTCAGTCTGTCTATCTACTGATTTAAATGGCTTCTTTGTGAATTTGTCTTCAAAACAAATTTGACATTTCGAAAGTCAGTGTTAGAAAAACGTGGAATCAAATTTAAATGTTTAAGCCTTTTAATCGAATCAATGTTAACGTGACCCAGTCTAGCATGCCATAAATCAATAGACTCAGCAATATAAGTAGAAGAAGTACTAGCATTTTTATTCATAGTGTCTATTTTAACATCAAGAGTAAAAATCCCCCCATTACAAAAGCCCTTCCCCACAAAATCCCCATTGCGAGTAAGAACTAATCTATCAGAATCAAAGGAGAGCTTCAGTCCAGCTTTCATGAGCAAACTGCCAGAAATAAAATTCCTGCGCATTTCTGGAACATGCAAAACATTAGTGAGAGTAAGTAATTTTCCAGAAGTGAGAGTGAGAACGATCTTCCCTTTGCCTTGGATAGAAGCAGAAGCTGAGTTTCCCATGAAGACATTTTCACCTTCAACCTTGTCATAGGTGGTGAACGCGTCCTTGTTGGTGCAGATGTGTCTGGTTGCTCCAGTGTCAACAATCCACTCAGCAGCATTACCTGTAAAGTTAGCTTCTAAAGCACCAGCAACAATAACGTTAGAATCCTCAATAAGATTTGCTTGACTCTGTCCATTCTTCTTCTTCTTGACTCTGCAATCCTTAGCCTTGTGACCAGTCAAACCACACTCAAAACAAGTACCCTTAAACTAGTACTTCTCAACCTTCCCTTTAGGCTTAAGAGAACTGTTTTTGGCTTTGGACTGGTTGTTTGGCTTGGGTTCAACAAGATTGGCTTTGGTAGAAGAAGAGGAAGGGAAAAAAGAATGGCCTTTGTCTTTGATACGGTTTTCCTACTCAATTTTGAGATGTCCTACAAGCTCCTCTAAGGTTAGGTCTTTCTTTTTGTGCATCAATTGGTTACGAAATTCCTTCCAAGAGGGAGGGAGTTTCTCAATCAAACCAATAGCAAGGATAATATCACAAATAGACAGATCTTCAGCAGCCATATTAATACACACATTCTCATAAGCATGAATCAAATCAATAATAGGCTTATCATCAACAACTTGAAAACCCAACCACTTATTAACACAATAACGTTTAGTACCAACATCATTAGTCCCATATTTTTTCTCTTAAGCATCCTAAATATCCTTAGCATGATAAAAACCCATATAAATATCCAACAAATTATTTGACATATAATGCAGCAACATGCCCTTACATGTTCTATCATCTTTATCAAACTTAACATCAGTTTCAGACAAATCATCCTTATCAACAAGTTCAACAATATCATCAAGCACATACGCAACATCAAATTGTTTCAAATAAAAACGCATCATAACAACCCAACGTTTATAATTCTTGCCGTCAAGAGGTTCTAACTTAGACATATCAGGAATCGGAAATTTGGAAGCCATACTCGTTTTTTAGATTGTTGTACTATAAGCAGCGTGAACCAAAACTGACAGTAGCCGTGTTGTGGTGAACCAATGACCTAAAAGACGATTCCGCACTACCTTCCGGTGTAGTAGACAAGAAGCGGTCGCCCTCCAAGATAAGCACGGCGCCAAAGTTAGAATGTTAAGGAATATTCTGTCAACAAACAAAGGAAATAAATTTCTCCAAAAAGATAAGAAGGACCCACGCCCGCGCATCGCATTCCCCAAGACCCCAAGTCCGAGCCGACCCGGCTCAGCGCACATGCGAGTGTGTGTGTGGTACATAAAACACCCACCTCCAAGTCACTCAACTAAGTAGTGCTAAGACACTACAACATATAAATAACGCAAAACCTCTCCCCCCAACCAATGTGGGACTTTTTCCCTTTTATTTGTGAGTTTCTCTCTCTCTTGTTTTCTTCCAACACTCTTGTTTTATATAAAGAACTTCCAACACTCATCAACCTCAACTATACTTCTTATGTTTTAAGCTCAAGGATAGGGCATTGTGTATTATTTGATTGCATGTTTTGCGCCTTAAACTATAACCACAAAAATAAAATAAAAATATTTGATAAAATAAAAACTACTCCTTTTGTTCTATTCCTTCCATTCGATAATCGATAGTAATTATCTGTTTAATTTGTCACATCATATTACTGTCTTTTTTGTGTGCTTATGTGAATGTTACATGCATTATTATTATTTTTTTTTATTGGTTATAATCCTTGATAATTCTTGTAATCAATTTACCATCTCCCTGTTATAAAATACTAAATTACCCATCATAATAATGGTCTTCTTCCCATACTCTCCACCATGCCATTACTTTATACAAGTTGGGAGTTATAGTTACAATTAAAAACACTAGCATGGCCATCATTTTCATATGGAGAATGTTTTAGAATACTAGGGTTTATACATATATACATTATTTATAAAAAAAATCTAGGATTTCTATTAGAGATAATAATGAATATTAATTTTAATGTAATCAACTAACATAGAGGTTACTAAAAGTCTACAACTAACCCTGGCCTAAAACAGTTAGTTAAATTAGTTAGTTAAATATAAAAAAGAAATAATTAGTTGAAATTGCGCGTAATTAAGCATGTGTAATATGATGGCTTTTCCGTTGCATTCTGCTTGCTAACCGGTGTTTGCTTTGTCGCCCGCCTTGCACGGCTATTGTTTGGTTGTATTGTAGCATTGCATGTTTGATTTGGCTACATTAATTTATTTGTAGGATGCTTAATTAATATGCTAATTAAGTATTAAGGAAACCTTAAAACAAGGCATAGAATACTTCAAGACTAAATCTAATCTGAATGAAATTGGCAGTTCTTATTTAATACAAGTATATACACAATAGTAGATGAATCAACAATGCCTCTAGACAAATGCACCGATTTTATTAGAAAATTGAATAGCAATAGATAGAAGTTAAGTTAGCCTATTAAACTTATACAAGTATGTATGTGTTTAGGGATTCTTTCTTCCTCTTCCATATGAAACAATTCGCATGCATGTTACCGACCTCTAAACTTTTTAACTTAATTGCAAATTTAACTCAATTATCAAATTAGACTCAAAATTCATAGATGTCTAAAGTTAATTGCAATGAAATTCGAACCAACAATACAATAATCGACCCTCTTAAAACCCTAGATTGACTACACTAACGATCAATTCAATTATAAATCCTATATCGTGAAATTCGTAATCAACTATTAAAGAAATAAATATTCGACTACAAAAAAACGCATACCAAATTTTAACCCCTAAATTGACTATAATCGATCAAAATCAACTATAAACCCTAAATTGACGATCAAATTAACGATGAACCGAAAAATGTGAATTTTATAACCTACTTAAAGATAAAGACTAAATTATGAAATTGATATTTGAAGATTAAAATTAGCAAAAGAAAAAAAAAAACAAGAACTTATTTCAGAAGCTATTTCAATGGAGGAGAGAGAAAAGAAGTATGATGAATTCAAAATTCGTGCTTCAATGGAGGAGAGAGAAAGAGTTCCATGGAAAAACAAATAAATGGTCAGATCTAATTCAATCTAAAGATATTGACGGTCACGATTCAATCCAATAACCAGCCTGCAAACAAAATAAA